AGGTGGGTCAGACTTAGGACTGGTGGCTTTATTACTTCCCAGAAATTTCACTGCCATGATGGGGGTTGGGGGAGGGGCAGTGGGCTTTCCGTAATCTGCCTGCCTACATCACCTTCACCCACATACCCCTTAAAATTTTCTGAAGGTAAAATCTTTAGGGGGAAAAGGTTGCAGGCTGATATATACGGCAGCCCTAGTAAAGAGCTGTGTAATAATAAAATTTAAGAAGAAATTGCCCAGCCATGAATTCTGACAAAGGCACTAAAACCACATCCCTTTGAGAAGCAAATCCTGAGCTCTTTTGGAGAGCTGGGCAGTACCTGGAACTGGGTGGATGGATTCCCCAGAAAAGAGGAAGCTGAGGTAGGCTGTAAAGGTTGTGATCAGAATATGAAAAGGCAAGCAAAGATTTTCCCCTAGGCAATGCTCAATTAACTTTAATGTATCCAGAGATTATAAGTATCACTAAGTATTTTTTCTTACTAAATGTTTTTATTGTCTTGAGAACTGTGAACATAACTTCCAAAAGTATTTCTCTCCTTAACTTTCTGGAAAATAAACTCAATTGAAGATCAGAGCTAAATAAATTGATTAGCAGACATTTAATTTATTCCATTAAAATGTAAGCTCTAGGAAGGAAGAATTTTGTCTCTCTGGTTTTCCTGAATAGTATCACCTATGTGGTCAATACTTAGTAAATATTTTTATGGTGAATAAATGAATGATTGAACCCAGGATCTCTAATGCCAAGAGCCCTAATGAGTTAATTTCAAGGATCTTATATTTTTGCTCAAAGAGTACATTACCTATTAGCATAAAAATTGCCCGACATTTCTAATTTTCAAGTCCTGAAAGGAAGCAACCAATGAAAATCAAATAGATCTTTCACATTAAAATGGTCAGAGAACATAGCATTGTTATATTAATATTTTATTTGAAATTTATAATACCAGCAATACTTTTTTGGGCAAATGCATTGAAATGCACGTATGTTAAATGTGTCAGTTCCATAAATCCTGAAAAATATAAATTCCCGTGTAACTTAAACACAGCAAGAGATGGAATATTTGTTATCAGCCTAGGATTTCCTCATACCCCTCCCAGTTCATACCTGTGCTTATCTTCCATCCTCACTTTTAAGTAACCACAATTGCATTTCTTTTCACCTGGATATTGCCCATTAGATTACTTTCCTTAATACTGTATCTATTAAAGTGTTTTGCGCATTAAAAGAACTAAGGGGTCAGGAGAGAGTACTGTGGTTAGGGCACATGCCTGGCATGTTCCTGCCATGGGTTTGATTCTCGCCGCCACGTGATCTCTCAGACATCACCAGGTGCAGCTCTGGAATACCCCTAATTCCTCGTAGGATGACCTGGGGTCCTCCTCAGGCCAACATGAGTACACCAGCGTCCCAGAATCCAAGCAGCACCTTATCCTTGGTCCGTTGTAGAGAACTTTTTAAAAAGTTTTTTTTTTTTATAGACTAAATTGTTTGTCATCTCCTAGTTTCAGGAAACACAGATGGAGACTTATCCTGCTATAACATTATAGAATGAATACAGTTATTCAAAGTAGAAAAAGTATTGATTGGAGAGACTTTCTTTAAAAAGTTTCTTTTTTTTTTCTTTTTTTCCTTTTTGGGTCACACCCAGAGATGCTCAGGGGTTACTCCTGGCTTTGCACTCAGGAATTACTTCTGGTGGTGCTTGGGGTACTGTATGGGATGCCAGGGATTGAACCCGGGTCGGCCGCGTGCATGGCAAATGCCCTACCCGCTGTACTATTGCTCTGGCCCCCTTGTTTCTCTTTGAATATGGTTGAGATGGGCTGGAGCGATAGCACAGCGGTAGGGTGTTTGCCTTGCCCGCAGCCAACCCGGCAGACCCGAATTTGATTCCTCTGCCCCTCTTGGAGAGCCTGGCAAGCTACTGAGAGTATCTCACTTGCGCGGCGAAGCCTGGCAAGCTACCCGGGACGTATTCGATATGCCAAACACAGTAACAACAAGTCTCACGATGAGACGTTACTAGACCCACGCGAGCAAATTGATGAACAGTGGGAGGACAGTGCTACAGTGCTATGGTTGAGATTGCTAATTTTTTGAGGGGGCTGCACCTGGCCAAACACAGTAACAACAAGTTTCACAGTGTAGACGTTACTGGACCCACTCGAACAAATTGATGAACAGCGGGAGGACAGTGCTACAGTGCTATGGTTGAAACTGCTAATTTTTTGAGAGGGCTGCACCTGGCTAAGGGATTTACTCCTGGTTCTGTGCTCAGGGATCATTTCTGACCATATTCAGGAGATTGTATGGAGTGCTAGGGATTGAACACTGATTCGGGTGCATGCAAGGCAAGTGCTCTACTCACTATACTATCTCTCTGACCCCCTGAAATAACTGCTTTTACACATTTAATTACTTTGGTGATCTAATGATAATTGGATCTGCTTAAAGTAAGATGGTAGTCTTACCAGTCTTGGTATACAGAATATCCAAGACACAAGACATTTTGTTGAAAGCAGTTTGAATTTGAATTCTGGAAATATTTTTAAAAATTACATTTTAGTCTTTTCCACAATATAATGGGTATGGAAGCTTTTATGTAACAAATGTATCCATAGTTCAAAATTTAAGCACGTGGGTTAATTGTATTTTAGGGTGATTTAACTTATGGTGTGTATAGAATAGTAAGAGTTTATTTTATAATTAATATTTTTCAAAATGAGATGACTACATTTACTTTTTTTTTCTTTTTCTTTTTTTTTTTGAAGTCAACAGATTTTATTTGGAGGGTTTTTGAAGGGAAGGAGGAAGAGGAAAGTGGGAGAGAGTGAAGAGTAAGAGAGACAGAGTAACGTGCTCAAGAGAGAACATGGGCTTCTCCAAGGGTGGAGAGAGCCCTTACACACACCCCAGCATTAGATAGAAAAGCACAAAAGTACACATCTCAAGAGGGGAGATGTGGGTGACACATGTGCTCAGGCACAACATGTGCTCGGCCACTCAGGCACAAGCAGCACATGGGCTCGAGCGCCATATGTGCACCTACATTTACTTTTTTTTTATATATATATAATTTTATTTATTGAATCACCGTGAGAGCAGTTACAAAGCTTTCGGGTCTAAGTCTCAGTCATACAATGAAACACCCGTGCCTTCACCAGTGCCCATTCTCCACCACCAAAAACCCCAGTATACCCCCATCCCACACCCTCCCCCTACCTGTGGGGCAGATGATTTCCACATTACTCTCTCTCTACTTTGATCACATTCAATATTTCGACACCAGACCCACCATTATTATTTGAGATTTTACCCCAATACTCAGATCTGCTGAAAAAGCAACAGTAGACAATTCGTGTTCTATTGCTGGTTATGAATAACATATGATGTCGCGTGGCAGCAGTAGGGCCATGTGATTTTGAAATTCTGAAATTTTAACACTTAAATCTGGAGGGATTTCTGCCAAAACCTGCTGGGTTCCGAGATTTGCTCCTGAGTCTCTGGGATCATGGCCATTAAGCAGCTTGATCAGGAGCCAGAGAGGCCGTTCGTGGGCGATGACTTGGGGTCTCGTTGGGGTGGGGAGGACAGGCCCGGCTCCGCCCCCATCCTGCAAGGCCCAACAAGTTTCGTCACTGTGGGCCCAAGCCTGACTGTCCAATGGCCTCTGGAGTATGATGGCCACCGAACCATCAGGGGGAAGCAGGCAGAGGGACAGCACCCTTTTCCCCACTGGGGTAGCCCGGCGACAGTAATGTACTGCGGGGTCCAGACACAGTTCTGCCAAAAGCCACTTGGTTTCGAGGTTTGTTTCTGAGTCTCTGGGATCATGGCCGTTAAGCAGCTTGGTCAGGAGCCAGAGAGGCCGTTTGTGGGCGATGACTTGGGGTCTCGTTGGGGTGGGGAGGACAGGACCGCACCCCCTCAATCCCATGAGACCCTGCATGTCTCATCACTGGGGGCCCAAACCTGGCTGTCCGATGGACTCTGAAGGATGGCGGCCACCAGGCCGCCAGGGGGAACAGGCCAAGACACAAAACCTATTCCCACCTGGGTTGGCCCAGCACTGTTAACCTACTGCAGGGACCAGACACATTTCTGCCAAAAGCCGCTGGGTTTCCAGATTTGTTTCTGAGTCTCTGGGATCATGGCTATTAAGCAGTTCAATCAGGAACGAGAGAGGCCATGCCTCCAATTATATAGCTGAGCTGGAGGTGGTTTGTGGGTGTGTTTCCCATATGCCTAACTTTTGGCCGTTTACTTTCTTGGTAAACTTTGCCCCAAGTTTTTGAGGTCTGGCCAAAGGCATAGCAGCAATTTTGGGATATCTGAAAGTCTGAAGGCGCCATCAGGCTGCTGATGCACTCGCCTCACGGGTACAGATTGACCTGCTGGCGGCACCAACCCCCCTACATTTACTTTTTAATTGATTAATTTACTGCTCAAGATGTAGTCTTATAGGAAATATAATGAGATTTTGCATTACAATTGTGATACATATATATGTATGTATATTTACTATGGACATTAGGAGGAATCTAGGCATGAACGATGACTATTTTAATTGTGACTATATTTTCCACTAAATCTATAATGATAAAAATGGAGTACAGAAGGCTATTAGTGAAAATGTTTTATATGGAAAAACTATTTGTTCAAGTTTTCTTTGGATGCAAAGGTACAGACACAAAGACATTACCTGGTGGTTGCCAGATCTCACTGATATTGTTTGATTTCACCAGTTTCTTCTTCCTCAGCTCAGCTATGTTGGCCCTGTAATTACATGTACTTTTATAGCAGCTAATCATAACCATCAAGATATACCATTTTATCCTACTATTTTGGTAGCAAGACAGGGAACAAAGTAGTGATTGGATATGTTTACTGAAGCTGATTTATAAGTGGTCTCTCTGTGAGGTCCTTAGATTTCACTTTGCAGCCTTCTAATAATAACAGTTACAAAATCAGAGCAATTTTATTTACTTTTCAGATCACGTGGATGAGCGAACAGTGTGCAATGGAATTGCCCCTGAAAAAGATGTCGATGGCTTTCATATTATCAATATTGGAAGGCTGTGCCTTGATCAGCCTTGCCTTGTACCTGCCACTGCCGGTGCTGTTTGGGAAATAATTAAAAGAACAGGTTGGTGATTGTGGTCTGTAGGACATGGGTGTGAAGTGTCAAACAGCATTTGCCTTGATGGAAACCCCTTAGTTAGTCTGAGTAAGAGACAGAAAATGGTAATCTATAAAAGTTTAATTATAGAAAGATGTAGCTTAAAATAATAATTTTAAATCATCATTTGAAACTACGAATATCGAATACGCCACTATATGCCAAAAACAGTAACAAGTCTCACAATGGTGACGTTACTGGTGCCTGCTCGAGCAAATCGATGAACAACGGGACGACAGTGCTACAGTGTTACAGTGCTATTTGAAACTACATCCAAATAATCTAAAATAAAATAAAAGAATTAATAAAATAAAATAAGTAAGGCTCACAGTCCAGAAAGGTGTGTAAGATGCTTATTTCTGCATTCATTTCTTGATTCCTGGAGGTCTTTTCCCTGGATGGTGTTCTTACCTCCTTCACTCCTGGAAGCATTTCCTTTTTATTTGGCTATTTCCTAATGGAGAGAAAAATTCCAGTGCAAATCCCAGAATCATACTCTTCAAATATTAGTGCTTAAAAACAATCTTAGTTCTAACAACTTTTATTTACGGAAAGAATATGCCCCATAGAGGTAACCTGTGTTGTGTTTGCAAACTTTATTTCTCATAAAGTTTCACCAGTTTTCTTCTTATATAAAGAGAAGATAAATATTTGGAATATAAATATTCCAATTAGTATATTTACTCTTATCTCCTATGAAGTAAAGTGTGTGTTGTATAAAAAATACCTTTAAAAGTGATTTCAGTAATTAATAAAAATTATGCATAAAAAATGATTATAGGGCCAGAGTGAGAGTACAGAGGTAAGGAATTTGACTTGCATGCGGTTGACTGGGATTTGATCCTTGGTATTCCCTATGGTCTCCAAGGATGGCCAGGACTAATTCCTGAGTGCAGAGCCAGGAGTAATCCCTGAGAATTGTTGGGTGTGGCCACTAAACAAAATAAAAAAGAAAAAAAAAACAGATTTAATTTTATCTCATGTTTGCTTAAAGTTTTAGTACCAATCAAATTTAATCTTGTTATAATCTTCTTTATAATCAGTGCAAAATATATTTTAAATCTGCACTACTCACTTTATGAGAATCTCACTGCATTAAAGTAATGTAATGGCAACTTGAAAATATTTGTGGCTAATGAGAATATAATCACAGAGAACATGATAAATGCAAGAAGCATAAATAATCTGAGCAATTTATAGACACTTTATAAACAACTCAGTAATCCATATGTAACTAGAAGATTTTAAAGAATGTTGCAAGTTCATTTCGAGTTCAAATGTTTACTTTGACTCTTGTTGATTGATTCTTCACTTATATTAAACTCTGTGTTTTAAGGAATTGAAACATTTGGGAAAAATGTGGTGGTGGCTGGAAGATCCAAGAATGTAGGGATGCCCATTGCCATGCTTTTACACACGGATGGAGACCATGAACGGCCAGGAGGTAGGCAGACCTTGCGAAGTCTCTTTAAAATTAGAAGGTTATTATTTCTTAAAATTATCAAGTAAAAATGTTTGAAAATATAAGATGTGTATTTATTATTATTTCTTCTAGAGCATATCCCGTTTAGGTCTTGCTCCTGGCAGTGTTTGCTTGGGGTGGGTACCATATGGGGTACTAGGGATTGAGCCTGGGTCTGCTGCGTGCAAGACAAGGCCCTTACCTGTTGTATTATTTCTCTAGCCCCTATTTGTGGGTTTTTATAAAAGTTTCTCTAATTCCTTACCTAATAACATAATTGCCTTTCTTACTTGTATGTACATTATGTACACAACTCCTTTACTTCCATTTTTTTCTTTTTGCTCTATATATTTTATTTAAAGGAAAAAACCCAATAATTTAGACATTTTAAAAAGTTGGAAAAAAAAAACAGTATCCCCCTGCATGTTCCCATTTAATTCTTCACCGAATCCATCTTCACAGACAGGTCACTACTAGCTTCCACATCTTATGTATCAGTTTCTCCTTCACAGCGAAGACAGTACACATATTATCAGTATTACTGTTGGTGGATGAATTTCAGTTTCTTGATTCAGATTTTCAGAGATGGATTAAGATCATGATGGAAATAATGCATATGAAAACAAATTTTAAGCTTCAAAAATCAAAGGAAAATTGAGCCTGAGGATCACATATATAAATTGATGAATAATGAGATCTTTGCTTTTTATTTCTCTTTTTTTTGGGGGTTTAAGGAATTAAATATGGTACAAACAAAAATATGTATGTAGGGCTGGAGCAATAGCACAGCGGGTAGGGCGTTTGCCTTGCACGTGGCCGACCCGGGTTTGATCCCCAGCATCCCATATGGTCCCCCAAGCACTGCCAGGAGTGATTCCTGAATTCAGAGTCAGGAGTAACCCTTGTGCAACGCCGGGTGTGACCCAAAAAGAAAAAAATATGTATGTAGATTATAGTAAATTAAGAACCAATGGTGTTGCAGATAACGTTAAAAGAGACTTAGCTTTGGGCCCTGAGACATTGTGGAGAGGAATATTCACCTTGCTGCTCTGGTAGCCTGATTTGAATCCCCCCACCCCTACCCCCACCCTTGCATCGCTACACCCTGAGCACAGAACACAGAGTCAGGAGTTGTCCCAAACACCACTGGGTGTTACACATTTCAGAACTGAAGAAAGTGAGAGACGGGCAGAGCACTTTCCCAAGGTCACTCAAGGAAGTGGGAGATCCGAACTGGGGGAATGGGAGCTCACTCCAGTCAGGAGCATAGACTGCCGTGCAGCCCCTCTACTTATCGCTGTGCCCGTGGAGAGGTCACTGAATCTGTGCAACTCTCTGCTTTCCTCACCTGCATAAGAGATAATAGCTTCTTCATTGGGTTATTGTGAAATTAAGTGAGATATGAATATAAGAAACTGATCACTGTGCTCGACACAGTAAGTGAAACGACCCATTGTACATATGAACTCTGACTTGTTAGCACAGTGGGTAGGACGTTTACCTTGCATGCAGCCCACTCGGGTTTGATTCCTCTGTCCCTGTTGGAGAGCCCTGCAAGCTACCGAGAGTATCCTGCCCGCATGGCAGAGCCTCGCAAGCTCCCCGTGGCGTATTTGATATGCCAAAAACAGTAACAACAAGTCTCACAATGGAGACGTTACTGCCTCTATGGCAGACAATTTCCTGCATACTCTCTCTGCTTTTGGGCATTATGGTTTGCAATATAGATACTGAGATACTGGTCCTTTATCTACTTTCAGCACACATCTCCCATCCCGAGTAATCCCTCCAACCATCATTGACTTAGTGACCCCTTCTCTATCCCGGCTGCCTTCTCCCCCAGCTCATGAGGCGGGCTTCCAACGATGGAGCGATATTCCTGACCCTTGTGTCTACTATCCTTGGGTGTCAGTCAAAAAGAGCAGTTTAGAAAGGCCAACCAGCTGACTTTGTTTATAGGAATGTTCTGGATTTTATTTGGGCAGCATTCACTCAGTACTTGTTCTCTATGAAGTTCCATGGGATCCAGTGGGTTAGAAAAACTTAGTCCTCTCTTTCCAGAAGGTGACAGTCTGTGTGGTCAGCGTCCACCTTTAGATACTTTCCTCAGAGACGTGCTTCCTCTCTGGCCTTGCACTTTTGTGCTCAAACTGCCCTTGTGCGGAAACTTTGTGGGTATCAGGTGCTTGTTATTCAAGCGCTATCCTATCTCAATGATAAACCCACAAGATATTTTGCCAGAAGTAATGCCATGCCTTTATGGAAATTGCCTCCAGTTGTGAAAATGAACATTTTTTTTACCCCTTGGGTATATTATCGCCGACCTCCAGTGCCTTTAGGAGGTCATGCTGAAGATGATGTTTGTGGCGAGAATCAAGTGATGTATGTGGTTTGTGTGGTTAAATACAACATAGCTCCAGGCTGATCCAGACGTTTTCAGGTTTCAATATGAAGAGCCAAATCCGTACACCTGGGAGTGCAACGCCAGGCAAAATGACCACACAACTAGGATGGAAAAGCGGTGTGGGTGGCAGCCGAGCAGAATGGGGTGTTTGCTGCCCTCTAGAATGAGCCTTGGCCACACTGGAGCAGGGGAGATGGCGAGCGTGCAGTGTTCCCTCCTCCTGTCCCATTGCCTCACATTAGAAATGCATAGGTGTGACACGGAGGCGATTTTTGTTCCATGAAATATTACTGAATTGTGGCTTTGAGTTTCTATAGAAGGTAATAGAAATGAATGAATGCTTGCTGTAATCTCATTTTTAAAAGTCTGAGTAGGAGGAAAACTTTCATGTTAGAATCTCCTGACTTGTGCTGACTAGTATCTGGGAGGCTTTGTGCTTCCACAGTACTGTGTGTTCTCGCGGCAGATAGCTGGGAATATTACACCGTTGAAACTAATATTAGTCATTATTTTAAATGCAGCCTGAAGGGGCTGGAGAAATACAGCAGCATATAGTATGCTTTTCACACATCCAACCCAGGTTTTACGTATTGTGTATATTGTCATAACAATACTAATTCTATTGGATATTGATTGTTAATGTGTTTCATTTTCCTAGGCATACATAGTATGTCTAGTAAATGTGAACTTGTAAATGTTCAATATTTTGTCACAAACTTTTGTTTCCCTGGAATTTGTCACAGGGCCTAGCAATAATGCTAACCATGCAATGCAGGAGTGAGTGAGTCAGTACAACTTATGGCTTTTGCTTACAATAAACCTCTTGTCCAATGACTGAACTAACTTATTTTAACTAAACATTGGGATATCATTTGATTGCTTGAAACTTTTTCTAATAGTTTCACAATCATATTACCCGTGACCTGGCAATTTGTTACTGTTGAGAATCTGGTTCCCTGGGGAACTGACTGAGAGGGATGATCCAGTTTACCTGATCCTCATTAACAGGGAAATAATTCTACATATAATAATTCTTCATATAAAATAATATCTTCATTATTTTTAAAGTTATTTTAAGATAGCTACTCATACTCTACCTGTAGTCTCGATTGGTGAAGACTGACTGTGGAACAGCCGAGTCTACTGTTAATGAGTCTGGGCGCTTTGGTCTGGTTACCTGTGTCCATTGTCCATTTTGACATTTTCTCATGCAATAAGAAATGTAGGGGCTGGAACAATAGCATGGCGGGTAGGGCATTTGCCTTGCATGCAACTGACCCAGGTTCGATTCCCAGAATCCCATATGGTCTCCTGAGCACAGCCAGGAGTAATTCCTGAGTGCAAAGCCAGGAGGTAACCCCTGTGCATTGCCAGGTGTGACCCAAAAAGCAAAAAAAAAAAAGCAAAAACAAAAGAAAAATAAAGCTCTTGACCTTCCACACAGTGCTTCCTCACCTCTGGGTGCCACCTGCTGATAGGAAACTCTCCATCCACTGGCTAGAAAGCTGGGAAATCAATGCTGAGTTTAAGTGGCATTTTTCCAGATGCAGGAGTGATACAGGCTTTCATTCTAGAGGACAGAGCTGTACAACAGCTGGATGAACCTGCTTTCTCATGCTCTACCAGCTCTGCAGAGATCAAACAAAACAAGCTCTTGAGGAATTCGCACGGTGTGAGCTGTACTGTCAGACGGACTGGAACCAAGATTTCAAAATGGAAAGATTGCCATCCTGTGTTGAATATTAATGCTTTGTTCAGTGAAATGAAACACTGTTGTGCCAAGTTGAACCGAAGCAAGAGATACTGACACCTCCTAGAAAGACTTCACGGTTAAAAAGCAGGAGCACTTAGGTTGCAGCAGAAGAAGCCAAAGGAAGTGTTGCAGAGGGACACATAACAAGAGAAGAGATTCAGAGTCTCCTGCTCCCGCACCTGGCTGTCCTCACCGGGGCCCCCTTGGAGGGGGGAGGGTTGAGTTCCTCTTCCCCCCTCCCCCCCACCCCGAGCAGAGCCCCAGCAGCTGAGGATCTCCGGAGCCAGCCATGGCCATGCTGGGACCACTCTCCACATGTCCAGACGGGCCTCATGCATGAAAGAACTGGCAGAGGAACCCAGGCATGCGGGTCCCGGGACTGAGGTCTCCAAGCCTACTCGGATTGGGATTGGGCCTTCTCCACCCAGACCCCCCATCTTCCAGTAGGTAGGCATCACACCCACCAGTTGCCACCAGCGCCAGGTTGGTCCCATCAATGACCAAGATGCAGAGACTATAAAACCCAGCTCCAAGAAGCGTGTGGCCACATTTGCGGCCACACGACATCTTATTATCTTATTTTTCCTTTGGAGAACCTGGCAGGCTACCAAAAGTATCCTGCCCGCACGGCAGAGTCTGGCAAACTTCCTGTCTCGTACTCAATATGCCAAATACCAGTAACAATGATGGGTCTTATTCTTCTAACCCTGAAAGAGCATTGAAATGGCTCTTTTAAAATCTCAGGGCTAGGAAGAAGGAGACGTTACTGGTGCCTGCTCGAGGAAATTGACGAACAACAGGATGATCGTGATCGTGATGACTATA